AAGGAAAAAACACGACCTAAACAAAAAAAAATAAAAAATAGCTAACGAAATATTTCAATTCAAACGCAGATCAATCGACACAGCTCAATTCCACCGCCAATTGCACTGAAAAATTTTTCCCTTTATGTGCATCTCTTCCATGTAATGTCTTGGTGATTTGAGGTGAGCACACATTATGATGCTGTGCCCTCCTCCTGCAGCCTGTGGTTGTTCAGTAAAGTTGAGGCAAGCACATGCTACTATACTATACTCTTTTTTATTCTGTGGCCAATATTTTTTCATTTTATTCGAGGTATACACACGCTGCATTAATCTCTATGGCCTTCTGATTGCTCTGCTCTTCTCTCACATCTGGTGTCGGTCCAACACAGTCTAACAGTAGAGTTGAAGTGAGCACACAAGGTACAGTCTGAACATGCCTTAACTACGATACACATTGGCTCTCCGACCTCTTGTGTGAAAGTACTTGGATGGCCATGTTCTTATTCCATTCACCCCTGTTACACATGGGGCTCAGTTTCACCTCCCCCCCCCCTTCTTCCTAGGTGAAGAGTATACCCTGGACAAGAAGAGATGCAGTCTCCCACAGTTGTGCCCCTGTGGAGCCCTTGCTATCGGGTGCTACACTTCATGGGCTTTCTTTGGGCATTATTGAAGGAGAGCTCATCCATGTAAAACTTTGCACTGATCTCTACACCACTTCAATGTGGGATTCTAGCTAAGGTGTGTGCGCAGGTATAGTATCGTCTCAGAAGTAAACATTTTCCTTAGCTGAAAATGTATTTCCAATGTATATTCAACTCTTCACACACATTCTCACCCATCCTCCTCATTTCTGGTGTTCTTTTGTATCCCTTGTCTTGTCAGAAAATGAATTTCTTGAGTGTAAATGCATAGGGAGAGTTATTACACATGGAGGTGTGTTGTCCCCATATTGGTGGAGGGAATTTGCTACAAAAATGACATCATTATGCAGTAGCACAATTCATGAGAAATCTCATGAGATTAGGTTGGGAGTTCACTGAAGGCTAGTGGCATGCAAGTCACTAAGGCTGATGCACAGGGAAAAGGTGAGTATCTATGGGAAATAAATTTCCAGATAAAGAAAATCTTAACATGTGATTGCAGTTGTCACAATTTCCAATTATAAGTGATAAACATAGTAAAAGCTGATGAAGGCTTAACAGTGATATAGGATTTCACCTTTAAAAATGGCACCATCATTACATTTATTATACTAGTAACATGATTCTTTTCAGCAGTATTCTTGGTTGAAATCAATTTATATGTAATATAGTTTTTTTTGTGTGTGTGTGTGTGTTTCAATAGGATAACATTAATATTTAATAAATAAAGATTTATGTCATTTGGATATTTTACCATTGCATAACATATACTTGACTGGCCTAACTAAGTTAAACTGATGTCTTGTCACAAAAAAAGAAAAAATCTGTAGCTTTCAATGTTTAAAGAAATTCCCTGATCTGTGATTTGTTTTGAAGTCTTTGAACTTCTCATTAGATTTTTTTTGTTTACCCCCTACAGGAGTTCCAGGTGGTTAGTATCACAAGTAACTAGAAGTACACCTCAAACCCCTTTTTTTGACTATACATTGACATAAGTTTATAATCTTTTCTATCCACTACTTTTTAGCCATTGGCTAAGTTATTTGTAAAGCTTACCTTTTGAGGTACAAAATGTTAAAATAGAATTATAATTCTTATTTAAGATTTGATATTCCAATAAGTAAAACCTAATGTAGAATATTTAAAAACTTTTGGTATCATGAAACAAGAGTTGCATTGTGCTATGCATTGGCTAATGTGTGGACCCACTTCTGGAAAATTTTGCAGTAAAACTTGGTTACAGTTTTATACTTTTACAAGCTTGTGTATTATATTTACTTCAACTTGATTTGTGGCTTGTTACTAGATTTTAAATATTTGGGCTTATTCAGTTCTGGATGTGTTTAAGTTATCAATATTTGTTTATTATTTTTAATCACATTGTGACAATATTTCTGTTTTAACATTTTTAACTTCGGGAAGAATTGTATGCCTCCTGCCTTTATCCATAGATCAATGTCAGGGTTAAAATTAAATACTACGAGTAAAATTGTTAACACATGTACCAACATAATATTTTTGGAAGGGATGTGTAGTGGAATATTTAAGAAGTAGACAAATATCAGTTCTACACTTGAACAATTCACTATTAGTTTTTAATCAGCTCTCTAGATGTTAACTGGGCTTGACATGAATTGCTGTCTGGTTCTGCTACATTTGAGGTCCAAACATGTCTAATGGGACAATTGATTACTTAATATAACAATACGGTTGTAACATTTACTAAATATTTCAGTTTGGGCAGTTATTTCACAAAACTAATGTCATCTTATTCCAGGACAAAGAAATAATTGTTGCCTTGAATGACATATCACTATATCTGATAATCTTTGTTCATCATGTTGTTTGCTCTCATACCAATAGCAAACAATAAATTCAACATTTTTCTTCTTGAAATCATTTATGACACAGTAATATACACATTTATAAAATGTTTGTACAGTGACAAATGATATATTAGTCACAACTTACCTAGTTGCAATAAGTACAAATGCTACAAAACAAAAGTTTATAATTTAATGTGAAAAAACTGAATAAGTATTCATTTTTTATGTTCATTTTGAGGCTTTTATATGTCTGTAAACCGTAAATGTATTTTTCAAAAGATGCTTCATTGTGATTGAATTATAAGTGAGAAATTAGCTTTACTTTAAGTAAAATGTATTGCTGCTTTACTATCAGGGCATACACAAAAAATATTGAATGGAAGTTCAAATTTCGTAAAAGATTTGTTACTTTGTGACTGTTCAGTACAGTGATAATAAATAAAAGCTTGAATGTTGTTTAACAGTTAATTTATATTCTGTTATTCCTGCCAGATAGTAAGACAATGTTTCACCTACTTTTGCATTGATACTATTCCATGAATATCTGCTAATGACTGTTGTTGTTTTTTTTCTCAACTACATGTATGTTTTTGACATATGCAAAGAATTTCATTGCATGAAATGGTAAATTTTAAAACCTACTATCCTTTTTAGTTATGCTTATTCCTTTAATAATTGTGTAACCTAACTGAATCTGCTGCTATCTACATCTTTGTGTCATTTCATCTTTTATTTTTATCTGGACAGCTTGTCATTTGGTTGGACAGATGAATTGAATTTTAATCTGTCCTTCAGAAAGGTGGATACCAAAGTGTGTATTTAGACCTGGTTATCATACAAAAGTGAATATAATTTGTAATATTTGATTGTTGCAAATATGCAACTTAGACAGTACTGTACCTGATGTAGAGAGAAACAGTTATAATTGGTTAGGTAAGTTCAAAGGTGTTTGATGAACACTTGATCTATTTAAAGTTATGATAAATTGTTAGATGTCACAAAACTAAGCTGTACCAGATCCTGAGGAATATGCTTCTGTCTGACTTGTATCTGTGGTTTGGAATTGATAGAGCTAGATGTGGCCTAGTGGTTAGCATGCCATGGTTTGTACCTCCTTGCTACAGAAACACACTCCATACTTTGGGGCAGTAGATGTGCTATGATGGTGATGGTCAGATCTCAATATTTGGTGAGACAAAAGTATCCCAAGAGTTGGTAATGGGTGCTGTTGACTAGGCCAAACTGAGAACATTGATCTCAGGCCTCACTTTATAAACCAGCAAAGATTCCTGAATGAAAGGCTAAGATCTTAAACAAATTGAATTGTCAGGTACATCACATTCACCTAGGGTGCGAGTATGTTAGACTTAAGTAAAGACCCAGCATTAATATGTTCTTTTATATGAGTTATTAACCTTCTTTTGGTGGAACCAATGTAGCTCTGCTGACAGTAGGGACAAGTGAATTTATACACAACAAAAGAAAATTACAGAGATGGAATTTGATCTTTAAATTTAAAAAAAGGAACTAACGTGACAATTAGGTTTTAAAAAGAAACACCTCAGCTGTATCTGCAAATATACTCTGCAGACGACATTCTTCAGCTGATTTTTAATAATCAAGGAATATTTACCCATCTAAGTTAAACTAATAACCATAATATTTTTAGATACATTGTAAACACACGATGTAAGTACATTAACTTGTTTAGATAACAACAAAGTAATCTGTCAACAAAATCATTTGAAAAGTCATTTTTACATAGAATTCTTTGACATTCTAAAGTTCTAAACTTCACATCTAAAACTGTCCATTCTTGTTGTTTATAACAGTGTATAAAAGGGAAATTTGTGGTTCTTCTGATTTTCAACAGTAAATTGATACTACTATGTTTACTATTTACTCATTGTAAATATCTGGAGACTTTATTAGAACTCTTAAAAACAGTAAAAGTGTCACAAACATACTCGAGATAGTAGATAGGTTTGAATTCCAATGGGCAGATGTTCTGTTGATTAAAATATTCTTGTCAAATGATATGTTTAAACTATGAATAAACTCAAACATTGTTTTTAGAAATCATAATTTTATGTGTAGAGCAAATTATTCTTGTCAAATAAACACTAGTAATTTTGTATGCTCATTGGCTGCTATGTAAAAAATGTTTATTTTTGCTTACAAATTTTATCTGTAAATTTGTTCTTTTTACTGATATCTAATATTTTTTTCTAAAAATTATTGCATATAAAATAAATGAGCAATTCTTATAAATTAATATCCTAAAATATGTAAAAAACAAATCTTAATACTGATTTCACTGAAAATTTATCATATTCTTTTGTTTGTTTTTAATTCTAAAATTTTATGCTAACACACATGTAGAATTGTGATTTTTTAAATCTTCTCAAATTTATGTGACTATATTTTGCAGAGTCCAATTTAGTGGGGAAGAGAGCCTAAATATGTTTATTGTTTATTTTCCCTGTGAATGTTCAGTTTGATTGTTTCATCTAAACAACTAATTCATCTTGTATCTGTATCTTGATAGATGGAGTCAGAAAGCCCTGAGAGACAGGAGAAGTTGAAAATACCCTCTGGTAGTCCAGTTTGGATGCCATTAGTATGTTTTGCAGAGTCTTCCACATCACAACTAAGAACTGACAGCAGTGCCTTGCTGACTGTAGATTCTCCTCTGTTAGTCTGTGCAGGTTGTAAAGTTTGTGTTCATGCAAGTAAGTGCTTTTTGTTTCGTTTTTATTTTTGATTTATTTATAATGCCAAATTTTATAAGAAGATCTCTCTTATAATTGTTGTATCTAAGATTGATCATACATTGTTACGTGATTGAAAATAGTCTTTTAACTCCATTTTGGTGAATCAACCTTTTCAGGACTGCCGTGTGCATTTCATGGATATGAAATTCCAAAAGTTAAATAAAGAAATATAATTATGAATTTATTTCACCAATTTTAACTCGAGAATATCTAAATATTATACAGTATTTAGTGTATTTCATGAAGAAAAATGGCAAATATTTACTGCTTTCATTTTTGAAAGCTATGAGGATTTTTTCTAGAATTTCTCAGCCCATCCCAAAGCTTAGGTTTATATTTAAAAAACTGTCATTCATTGTAAATGTAAAGATTGATGTCTCATTTTTCACATACTGTTCCTTCTCTTTAAGTGATTTTATTTCTACAATGGTCATATGACAGTATATAGTCTAATCACTCCCCCAGTGAAGTTTAATTTTCAAAATAGCTAGTTCATAATTTACACCCTGTCACTGCCAAATAAAAAAAAACAAGCAAAAAAGTTGTGTTCTATCCTTTGGGACTGCGAGTTAGTTATAATGGTGATGGTCAAATCCTAGTGAGTTGGCAGTAGATGAAGGTGGTGTTCACTAGTTGCCTTCCTTCTTGTCTATTGCTTCAAACTTAGAAGTGGCTAGTGCAGATAGTCTGTGTGTTGCTTCATATAAAATTCAGCAAGTAATAACAAAAAAATAATGAAAGTCTTAAGGCTAGAAATGATTGGATACATCTACAATATATAGTAAAGAAAGTAGTTTTAACAGTAATTTGTGGTTTATCATTATTTCAGCCATCCAAAGTTCCTGTAGGGTGAACAAAGGATTTGAATGAAAAGTCTTAAAACCTTGGGAAAAAATTAAAGAAACCTTTATTATTTCACCTGTGATAATGTTTTTTTGTGTTTTAAGTTATACCTTTGAAAGCTACAGTTTAGTTAGATATAGCTAGTTTGGTATGTGACAGCAGACTATTTGGATGACTCAGATGTTTTTGGTTATTCAGTATTTTGATGATTTTATTGTATTAAAGCAATTTAAGTAAAATACCTTATTATTTATTTAAAAAAAAACTGTGTTTGTTAGATATAAATTCGTCACAACAAAGGTAACAGTGAAATATTTAGTGTAATACCCAATGAAAAATGGCAAGAAATATTATACTTACATTTGTGCACAGATCTGAGGAGTCAGCCTGCAAACATTGCACTTGTTGATTTTTGTTTGTTGTTCTTTTAGAATTTTTCTATACATCCTAAAAAGAGAAGTTTATATTTGCTAAGAAACTAACATCCCTTGAGAATATAATTAGGCATGTCTGGTTCTTGCATGATTTTCCTTCTCTGTTTGATATTTTATTATTCCCACCCCTACTTTGATATTACAGTGTGTGGTCTCAGCCTTCAACTAGTGGCAGCATATGGCAAAGCCATGACATTTTATTATAAAATTCGGTACAACAGAAGAAAAAAAAAAACATTAAGAAACACTGAATTTTTTTTTTAATCTTTGAGTAACATCAGAGATTAAGATTTGAAAAAATAAAAAACTGCTGATAAATAACTAAGAATACTTAAAAATATAATACATCACATTGCTGCAATAAGCCAATGCAAATGTCAAAGTTTTATAAGTGTGTACTGTAGTTTTCAATATGTAAGCATGTGTGCACCTATCTATCTAGATATTTCTGAGTGATTTTATTAAGTGCTACCCTTCTTCACAGACAAACTATTGCTAAAAAGAATGATAATTCTTTGGCTAGTAGCTTTTATCATTAATTAGTTTAATTAGTGTGGGATTCAGAACCAGAACTAACATGCACTCTGTCAAAAGCATAGTTTGATATATTTTAGCTACTTTGTAGAGAGCAAATAGAAAAGATGAGTTAAGTTTTACATTATTTGAAGAATGAAGAATATCAATGTTTGAAAACAACTATTTTGCCAGCATAATACAATGAAAGTTTCACTTTTATTTGCTGGGAAGATGAATACCATACAGGTTGAACACGACAAAGCTGATTCCTGAGGTTTAACTTGAAAAATTCCTCTAATTTTAGAGTAAACCAAAAATATTTAATCAGTACAAAAACCTAATGTAAGTTTGTGTTTTATATCTTGTTGAAGGTGCTTTCCTTAAATCCCACAAATGCATTAAGTGTGTCTATGTGGAGGAATATCGTCAGGACATAACACCATGGGATGTGCCATAATGTTGTCTTGAATAATGCACTTGCAGTGTTTTTTATTTTTGTTCAAAAACTTTGTCCTAATTTGAAAATAGCTAAGAGCAAAGTTTAAATACATTTGGACAGAATGGGTTATAGACTGTTTCACATCATTGTAAAATAAATAAAGTGGTATGAGCAGTAATTTGTTTCAGTAGAAAAATTACTAGAGCTCTTGAGATGAACAAAGGAATTCTCAAGGTGAAATTTAAAGGACTTGGGACAAACTAAAGGCTTGGATTCTTTTTTCATAGTTTCTTTAGACATTATTTTCATTCCTGAAAATATTTTAATGTTAAGTGATACCTTTTGAAAGCTAAAGAAATTTTATTCTGTAACAATATGTCGGGTAAGCTCAGTAAAGTGTAGAAAGTGCAGTAGGTAATGGTAAAATATTATGATGACTCAAACTGATTTTTGTTAAATATTATTAATTTGATCATATTTAAACAACATTGATAGATAAAAGAACTTAATATTGTTTGCAAAAATATTGTTAGTCAGCTTGATAAAGGTAAGTGTGAAGCCAATCTGAAAGGTCATATCATAGGTTACTGATAAATCTTTGTCAGTTTTTCATGACTTATAGCCAGAGATGGTGACTTGTGCAATCGGCAAAATGAAGTATTGAAAGAAGTATTTAAATGAAAATGAATCAAGTTTGAATTGGCTGTATATACCAAATGGAACGTTTTGATCAACAATAAAACAAACTGAAAATCTAAGATGAAAGGAAGTGTTTTTGTCTCACAGCAAAATTTTGGAAGTTTCAGAATTTAATGTTTTTTTTTAAACAAAAACCTACCCCAGTCCAGAAGGAATAATGAATACCAAACAAGTTGAAACTAAATGCATATATGAAATGGAAATTTTAACAATAAAAGAAATTGAAATTCTAAGATGAAACTGTTTTTAATGTACATTAGAACATTTGTACTATATTAAAAATCACTGGAAGACTGTTGATGATCAGTTAAGTTGCACATTCAATTTATTGAGAGATAATAATTCATTTGGTATTTACAAGTGAAAGAATTAAAACATACAAAAAACTTGTATACTAATATTTGAATTTTTAAATTTGTTTATTATACAGAATTAAATTTTTTAAATAGTAATAACTACATTATCCATTATCTGTGCTGTATAAGTTTATATGCATTTGTTTATAGTAATTTACAGTATTAAAGTTAATATATGCCATATGTATTTTAGTTATTTTAGTATCAGATAGATTAATATCTAACAATAAATTCTTTAAATAGTAATAACTACATTGGCCAAATGTGGTGGGCGTGGTACATGAAGCTTTACACATGACAGCTCTGCTTTGGCACCTAGTAATTTACTAACCAGACCCACCATTTTCAGATCTTCATGTATTAAGAGCTGAAAAACACAGCATAAAGTGAGGATACCCAACTGATGACTTAAGGCAGAGTGGTTACAGAGTGTTTATGTTGTCTTTTACTCATAATTAAAACTAATTATTATTAATTGTTGTTGTAGTTTCAAACAACTCTTCTGGGTAGGAATTTTTATCTAAATATACATATTTCTCTGTACAGCTGTGTAATTGTACTTAATATGTAATCAATTAATTGCAGCAGCTGTAATCATAAGTACTCCCTCCGTGTATGCTAATATTTACTTTGTGATCTGTTTTTTAGCTTGTTATGGGGTTATGTCTATACCCAGCGGACTGTGGAAGTGTCGATGTTGTGAAAAACAGAATTTAGATGTGGTGAGTCACATGTACAATACTACATAGCTGTACAGTAAAGAAGATTTTGTCATAGTTCTCTGTAAATGCATTCGAACTAAGTATAGGAGAAATTTTGTATATATAATGTAAAGTGTGCTGACTTACACTGAACCTCACAAGCATCAGTTGCATGCCTATAATATACTGTTTAGTACAGCTAATTCCATGTAGAAGATCAGAGCACACTACTTCTCTATAACAAAAGCATGAAATAGAAGTATATAAACAGTATGATTTCTGTATGACTTTTTGGATTGTTAAAATGCATTCATAATGTGGGGAAAGATAATGTACTGATTGATGTATAATTAATGATTATAAGGAGCTGGGCTGAAATGCACCAATGTTAGTAAAAGCTAAAACTTAGTGCAAAAACTGTTGGTACATAATGCACACATGCTAGTGATTACATGATTAAGAATATGGAAATCTTACTTCTTATATTTTACAGCTTGCACTTAACCATCATGTTGATGATTCTGCATTGTTGAAAATTCTAGCTTCAGTTGTAAGTGTTTTGATTTACATTTTATTTTGTCAGTTTGTGAGATTTTTCTTCATTGTTTACTTCTACAGGAGTGTTGTCTGTGCAGTTTGCGTGGTGGAGCACTCAAGCCTACTACAGATGGAAGGTGGGCTCATGTAATATGTACTCTTCTGATTCCAGAAGTTGTCTTTCAGGATATCTGTACAAAAGAACCAATTGATGTCACAAAAATCACACAAGAACGTGCAAAACTGGTGAGTATTTTTCAGTACACTGTACTTGTATTTGTTTCAAGCCACAATTGAGATTTTAATGGGTGATTTTGTGTTCTCTTGTTACTTATTCCTTATTGTGTTTGAAAATTGGTAAGGTAAAGTTCAGCAAGTTTCATCACTTGCTGATCTCAAAAAATATAATAAACCAATCAAATGTGAGAGTGGCAAGTAAATATATTAGAATTATAAAAACTAAAGTATTAACCAGATGTTCCATTTATATAGAATTCTTCATTACATGTGCAGGAAATTTTATTAAAATGCAAACAAAACAACAGCATTGCATTTATGAAATGCAGATGTAACAACAACTACTGGTTCAAATTACTAAGTGTTTTTTATGTAATGTAATATGAAAAATGTTCCACAGCTCCAAATATCCTTTTCAAAAAATAAATAAATGTCCCAGGTGTGTGTGTGTACAACAGTAATAGAAGTTCAATACTAAGGGATTAATTGGCCTCTTATTAGGTTAAGCCCTACAGTTGAGAATTTTACATTGTTTTCACCACAATAAAACTATAATGTTATCTGATTACACTTTGGGTTTTCTTATTATTACTTATTCTTTATTGGGTTTCGTAGTTTGTAAGGTAAAAATGATAATAATTAAACCTTCATATTACAGAATATGTTATTTTAACTTTGACTTTCATTTATACTACATTTATACTATATGGTCGATATTGATTAATCCAAAATACTGTATTATTATTGTGGAAGTTTCTCTTTCATGTCAGAAAGACTGAAAGTTTTGTTAGTGTTACAGAGCTAAATTTTAAAAAGTTAATTGGTATCATACCATCATCATAAAAATATAACATTACAGCACCTAGCATAGAGAAGTTAAACACTGTCATTAATGCTATAATACTATAGAACATGGTAGTTAAGGTGCTCAACTCTCAGTCAGTTGAAGCCCATCACAGAACAAGCTTGCCCTTTTAGATGTTTCAGGTGTTATACTGTGATTGTCAATTCCACAATCCACTGTTAAAGAGTAGCCAAAGAGTTAATTGGTTGCCTTCCCTGTGGTTGGCAGTTCAAAATTAGGGACAGTTGCAGATAGCCTTTGCAGCTTTGCCATAAACAATCTGTCTGTCTAGTTTTAGTTTTATTCATTACCTAACTGACTTAAAACATCATAAAATAATTGTAATTATCAAAAATTTATTTTACAAAATCAAATTCTATTATTCTAATGTTTACATTGTTTGAACTTAGATGTAGGCTACTTGAAGAATATTCAGAGTACCAGGTTTTTACTTTGGCTAAGTACATATTTTCCTAATGAGTAAAATGAATGAAGATTATTTATATCCTTTGGTTGGTTATAAAGCATTTTTCCAACTTTTAGTTATAGATACAACACTTAAGGATCCATAAACACACTTCTGAACATGTAAAACAATATAGAATTGTCTGGAAGAATGTTCACAGTACTGTTGCAAATGGTGACTGATAAGTGAATACATCTTTCATATACTTCTTATTTGGGTGTTAAGCAGTAGTCACTGTAGGTGATGTTAACTTAGTTATTCTGAATTAATGTTAAATCTAAAACTAACTATTTTGATACAATATGTAAAAAATAGGTGAAAATGCAGAATTTTGGGAGACAATTCAATAAAAAATTTTTTTAAAGGCTATCATGACATTGGTCTTATTTTAAAATAAAATTTCCTTTGAAAAATTATTTCATTTTTGTAGTATTTCAATTGATATTTTAGTATTTAATAACTTTTTTTCCCATCTCAATCCTTATGGTAGATTTTGTCTAATGTTTAGTATATATTTTTTATTAATTAAAGTGTTTTAGAATGATTACCAAGTTAAATTTGGAATTACCTTTAATTTCTCTCTTTTTTTTTCTAATTATTTATCATAATTCTTAATGATGGTTGTATAATACAACCTTTGTATTTTTCCTTTTGTTGGACTTGCAGATATGCACATATTGTAAAAATATCAGTGGCTCGTACGAACACAAGAGTGGAGTTTGTATTCAGTGCTCATCAGGAAAATGTACCAGTGCTTTCCATGTGACTTGTGCTCATGCAGCAGGTGTCACTTTTGAAACATGCGACTTTCCAGTAAACATTTATATCACTTGCACTCGTCACATACGTAAAAGGAAGAAGGTGAGGAGCTTAAAAAAACTTTAGTATTAAAACATTGTCAGTTTCATAGAGTGTGTAAGTATTTCTTCATATGGATGTTGGTTATGAACCAGATTTGATAAATTTGATGATCTATTTTACTGTATAGAAATATTAAGAGGAATGCTTATTCATTCAATAGATCTGCTACATATACAGCATTCATATTATGACAGTATATAATAAGTATTTGTTACAGGTGTAAACATTCAAGATGTTTAAGTTTTGTTATAAATAGTTTGATTTATTAAACTGTTGTTTATGCAGATTCTAAAACGTTTGTAACTTTATTTATTACATAAAGTATGTAATTCAGATAATTTTATTGTAAAGTCATAATCTAAGAAAGGAAAAACAAAGTGGTAGTTTTTGTGATCTTATTACAGGTGTAAAAGCTAAGATGTTTATGTTTTGACTGGATGACTGTAGTAGGCATGGTGGGGGAAAATAAGTTCTTTAAATAATCTTTATATCTGATAACCATGACATAATAGATCGCATGCTATTACATAAGCATATGCATTTTTATTCTTTAAAGAGCTATGTTGATCTGTGATGGCTAGAGCAAAACTTTGAAATCATAAATTGGTCATCAGTAAAATGTGTGAATTTGTATTTTTTGGCATTGGCGATTTTAGTTGCATTCATTTTTGTAACTTTAACCTTTTACAACTTTCAGCCAACAAAAAGAAAGTTACCGGAAGTGGTGGTTGGTACCAAAGTAATTGCAAAACACAAGAATGGCAAATATTATCCCAGTGAAGTTGTCGATATTTCCACTCAGTTGTTGTTTTCTGTGGACTTTGAAGATGGTTCATTTAGTGATAGCGTGTGCTCCACGGACATTATAGTGAGTAAACTGATGTTTTTCGTTGCATAACTCTTAATATATACATTTAATAATTTTGGAGTTCAGTATCACTACATAATTATTTAAAGAAATACAAATAGTTGATAACAAATAAATCAATGATTTCTCTTATTAATATTTTACTGGATGTCTATAAAAGGCTCTATTATGCAAAATTATTAGAAAATTAAACTGTTCATAAGATACATCATTTTTAAAAATAAAAAACGAGTTTTTGTACAAACTACATTTAAGGACCTGAATATTGAATGGGTTTACGCTGACATTTTCAAGTTATGTTTTAAAGAGTTACATCATAGAAATATTTGTTAGTCTGGTTAAAATAAATTTAGAAGTGACAAACGACAAAATTCCCATAACAGAAATTAAAATGTCCTTTAGAAAATAAGAATACTGTGATCCATCAGGACTTCAGATGAACCGTTTTTGGCAACTGACAGAAGTGCTAGCCATACTGGCAAACTTGAATTGTGTGTTATTAGAAGTTAGCTAGTAGGTTGATGTGAATTTCCATAGTGTCACATTTGTAATTTCATAGCTTTTAATATATCATCAAATCTTAAATCTGTGTAAGATGCAAAATATATATAATTAAAAACCTGAAACTGCTTAAATGTGGTGTTTATACTTCTTATTTTAAACTTGGACAATGCAAGAAGCTAAAATACCTTGCAAAGGCTTGATGATCAGTTATGGAAATATAGTTTTCTTCCATAAATGTTTTACTTACAGCCAAGTTTTCTTTCTTATTTTTTTTGTTTACACAATTGACCTGAATATTTATAATCATGCATGGGTTATCAACTGACAAAAAATGTCAGTGCCTATTTATTTTGATGGTCACTGGTTAAACGATAGAATCCTGCTGCATGTGGAAATGACATAAATGTTAAAAGAAACTTCAGCATTTACTGATCTAATAATTTTTCATGCTAGAACCGAGACTGTGAAAATGATGGACCACCAGCCATCAATGAACATGTCAAAGTACATTGGAAGGATGGAGAGATTTATAATGCTACTTTCAAGGGATCCACCTCTCATATCATTTACACAGTGAGTACGGTACAAAAATTCAGTGGATTGTGATACTAATATATGTAAATACTGTTGAATAAATAATTCAAACATCATTGTGATTGTTAGTTATTCTCTCTGCCATACAATAAGAGTCAGTGAACATGTCATCGTGTTTTGGAGACATACATTCAAAATTTTATTAAACTACTATTTTATAAATGTATGTCCATAAATTTGGAATCAAACTGTAGTTTGTAATTCAAATTTTAGTATTATACATTATTTAATTTCTTAGTTCAAAAGTAAATTGAAAAAAAAAAAGCTAAATGTTGGTTAAATGTTTGATTTTGTTTTGTATGTCACATGGTATGTTGTCTTCTGCATTTGCTAAGATTGTATTGTGGGAGTCATAAAGTGTAAAGTCTATAGTTTTAACGAATTAGAAACTCAAATTACCAATATTGACGAGCTATAGTATAAAATAAGAACCTCCTACCTTTTCTATTTGTTGAGATATCATCATATTTGACAAATCCACCACATTGGCTCTTCCCACCTCTTCCTCTGTAGAAAATACTTATTTACCTATGCCCACATCTATGAGAATGATGATGAAATCCCACTATTTGGTTAGACAAGAGTAACCTAAGAGTTGGCAATGGTAATATTGACTGTTTTTCCCTGTAGTTTGTTAGTTCAAAATAATTGACAGCTTTGTGTAGCTTTGAACGAAAATTGTACAAAACATTATTTATTTTGTGTGTGTATGCAGCTGTTTATTTTATACAATTGGTGTGACTATATTTTTTATGTTAACTTTGCATCATTCAGGTGGAATTTGAGAATGGCTCAGAAAACAGATTAAAGAGAGAAGCTTTTTACACTGAAGAAGAGGAATTTCCAAAGTCATTGAAGCCTAAGTTGGTATGTATTCTTCTGCTAATTGAAGTGTTTACTGATGGTGATGAAGGCTAAAAAGGAGGAGGGTTGTTATATCATTACCTTCAATTATTAAATGAAAGCACCCTAATTTAGAAATTCCTTTCAAGCCATTTTTATTCATGTAACTAAGGTATGTATAAACGTATAAACATATTTGTATTTTTAGTACAGTAATTAGGTAATATACTTAGTTTAGAGTAGTTCACCCATACCATGACCATTATGGGATTTAGTATGGGTTTTCTGAAAAGAAAGGTGAAATTTTAATTTCTCTCTACCCTATAAAAATGGATTGCATATATTGTACATGGTGAATGGTACCACCTATACTAGAAGGCTATACTAGCTGTATGGACCCGACATAAATAGCATGTGATTGCTGAGTGTTATGTTTGATGCAGTGCTTTAGCTTATGAACTTTTATTTCACTGAAGTTTTGTTAGGGTAAGATGAGAAGTTTCTAATTTTTACATTTTTAGTTACTTTTGTTAAAAAAAATATAAAATATATACATAAAATCAAGGATTTTTAGTAAGTCGTCTGTACTCAAGGTCATTTGTAGTCAGCTCAAATTTGAGAGTTCTTCCATAAGCCTCATTGATTCTTACAAACTTGGGTGACTAAAAATAATTCATTTAGCTTTCAAATATGCATTCTGCAACACAAGAAATATATCAGCCACTAGAATAGAATGTCTCAAAACTACTGTAATTTGTCCAGATTTCTAAGTAAACTACAAATAGGTTGAAAAGAAAACTTGCATTCAGAGCAGCAAAATATGATCACCACAAATCCAAGCAATTCTACTGATCAATGGTTTATAGCATATAAACCTAAACCCTTGTAATAAAGTTTATGTAGAGTAGAATTTGCTCTTTCTAATAATTACAAACATATCCATCAGCCTTGTAAAGTAGATTAGCAAACAATCTTGAAAGTCAGAGAAAGAAGGACGTGACTTCTCTGGTGACTTTGAAAAATTTATATCTCAGCAAATCAAGAGCTAGAGAGTTGATATTTTAGATTTTTGCTTATAATTATATATAATTTATGTCTCTAATTGTTTGGAAATTGCAGCAGCACATTATAATTTATGTTTCTAATTGTTTGGAAATTGCAGCAGCTTATTATAATTTATGTTTCTAATTGTTTGGAAATTGCAGCAGCTTATTATAATTTATGTTTCTAATTGTTTGGAAATTGCAGCAGCCTATTTTTGATGTTAGAAAATTCTAAAGTAGAGAAGTCATAGCTGAGATGTGTCACATCACACAGAAAAATGAAGATTGAGAATTTATAGCTATTCTTTTGGAAATTAATAAGCTGAAACTTAAATAAACTAAATGTTTGAATTATAAGCTATGTTTTGATGCTGAATTTATTCATATACATTGATAATATCTTTGTTTAATTAAATTGTGAATGTAACACCATGACTTTTTAATGATGCGCAGATGTGAAGGGTTAAAAAGAACATTATTAAAAGTTATACTTTATAATTGATGTTTATCATTTTAGTCTTTGGCTACATAGTCTCAACAGAACTTGTTTCAAAAAGGAGATGTCAGTGTGAAACATTCTCAAATTGCCGGGTACACATCAGAAGATGATCTGCCACTTTGATTTCATCTGTATGTCAAGACATTCATCAGACCTGAAAAAATCCACGTATCTCTGTTAATGCAAGGATGAAGCTTAGTAATTAGTTTTTGCATGAATGAAAAATGTGGTCAGAAAAGATTGGCCATTGTATGTTAAACTTACCTCCTCTTCTCACTGCCGTGCTTTGGAATACAATTTGTTTTACACTTTTAAAACTGCAGGAAACTTCATTAAACCACAGGTAGACTTGTATCAATATTCCTAGGGATGGTTATTGAAACAATCTCTCACAGGTAGTTTTTGCAGTCATTGTTCAGAAGAACCATCATAACCAACCATTGAATGCATTAGCACTTTTAAGAAGTATGGTATTTTTGCCTAGAGTAATTTGTTTTACCACAGATTGAAATAACATGCAGAAAAAAAGTATGAAGTAGTTCATCTTTGTCAATTTTTTGTATTTATTTTGGAGAACTGTTAAAAGCATCTGTATATTTGTTCATGTTTTGTATATTAAGTTAGAGAATTCAGCCCATAAACATACTGCCGTGATAATTCTCTTGTGCTTAAAGTTTTAATCTCCATTCAACAAATTGTCTCATAACAGATTAGTCATATTCACATTTTATAAATTCAATTCATATTAAAACTAGAAAAAAATGTACAAATTAATAGATATGTGTTTATGTTTAACACTAATTTTGTATTATTCACACACTTTTGTCACTCTCCTACTTGAAATATGTCTTATATATATATATTAACTTTTAATATTTTTTTTATATTCTTTGCTACTTGTACTAACCAGATTTTATGAAAATTATCCATTCTAAAATTCTATATTTTCTCTGAGGGATTTGATTTAGTCAGTAAGAAGGTTTTTGTGACATTATAAATAAAAAGCATTGTCAGCTCTTCTGAAATACAGCATTTTTAACAATGATATGGTTTTCAAGTGTCATCAGGTGTATGGAAATTTTTTGGTTTTTGCATACATCGTAATTTTTTGCTGAAGTGGTTAGGATATTGTTACAGCTTGCAACAGTTTAAATGGAAGTTGGACTTTGTCACTATTTTATTGCAAGAATTTTAAACCATTAAGAAGATCTGTTCAGCACTGCTTTTAAAATAGGTGTTACCTTATTCTAGTATTGTCATTACTGTGGACTCCATAATAAAGGAGTGATTTCTTGCACATGGTAAGAGTTTGTGAAGAATGATGAAACTAAATAAATCTATAAGAAATTCTTTAAAATGTTTTAGTAAACCTCAAAAGTAATAAATGTTTGAAAATTGTAAATTTGAATTGGTTTAGTTACAGAATTGAGGTTGTGGGAAAGATTTTTTTTTGTTTCTTGTTTTTGTTGATTATGTATGTGAAATTGTATTTCTTTCCTTTCTGGATTTATAATTGCTCAAAACTAATAAGTGTGAAATTGCTGTTGTAATGTAGAATTAGAGAACTCGAAACTTATCAAGACAGAGTGAAAAGTTACAAATTCAGTATTTATAGAGCATTCAATAAAACAATACATAGTTTGTCCAATAAAAAAACAAAACTATACATATTTTATTTGATACTTGAGGGAGGTTTAAAGTTTCTTAGTAGTGAAAAATTGTGGTTCCTGAGATTAACATTTTGTATGTTGATTGGTGTAAGCTATGTAATGGTTTTGGTTAATCAGTTAAAGTCCACACAGTTACTGCCAGCATGTTGTATTAGATTATACACTTATGTGGTTGCTGAACTCTTTAGATAATTGAGAGCTATGTAGCTGTGGTTTTGTAATTAATGAAATAATTGTCCTCATCGATGCTTTGCTAGTAAAATGAACTTATTTCATTCAGATCATTTGAAGCACCAGGAGAAAACCAAATTATAAGTGCTCTACTTTTATTCTTGATAACCCAGATTTGAATTTACCACACCCAAAGTTAAAGTTAATTTGGAAAATTAAGAGATGTGAAATTCATTTCAGTAGTACAATGTGTCAGCCTATTTGAGGAACAAAATTACAGAAATGTATGAGTACTTATTAAAAATAAGGTGTAAAGACTGAGTTGAAGATTCACTTCCAATTATATTTAATTTTGGATAATATGAAGTAGCATTATATAGTAATTGTGTGAGTGATTGTTGATAACCTTGATTGTACAGAAGATATACCATATATTTCCCTGTGAATACTGATATTAGAAGGGGGAAAAAACTAAGTAACGTGTGTATGTATACAGTTCACTGTTGTTAAATTAAATCAGTGGATTTAAAGAAGGATAATTTGCTTTATTTTTTTCTTGTATAAAATTGTGTTCTTTACAGAAATGCATTGGTTTGATTTGAAATATTTATGTTTACTGAATTTTGTAATCTTTATACACAGAAAAACATTGTAAACAAATATGTTGAACACTGGTGAAACTTGTTGTAATGCAATATATATATGTACTTATTTTTAATTCTGCATTTTTCTGCTTAACATAAATATGTTATAGATATGACTAACTAAATGTAGTGAATTTAACCTAATTTAAGGCATTTCAATCCTCTGTAAAGACATTGCAAGGCAGAGTGTGTCCTGCGATTGTTTTTATGTTTTGATTTTCTAAGAGTTTGCCTGTCTTGTAATTTTATTTTGGATAGGACTAATTTTGAAGATCAAACACTTCTATGCATACTATTTTTCATTATTTTGAAAGGGCATGCCATTTATTACAACTTCTACTATTTTTCTTTATTATAAAGTGGTATGTCATTTATTATTAAGATTCTTTTTTTTTTTTGATAAAGCTATTGTTGATTTTTTTTATTTGAACCAGGTTGTTTATTGTATTTTGATGCAACTTAAATTTTTTTCCCCAATGCTGAACAATAACATTATAATTGTATACTTGTTTTATGTTCATTTCCAGTTACCTTGGTATGGTTTTTCACTATGGACAGTTTTAGTTAGCACTTAGAAGTAGTAATCTAGCTGATCTCATCAATTTTTCATAGTATTTAAAGGTATCGTAAACTAAATTTGTGTATTCATTTCCATGCTAATAAACTTGTTACTTGCATATGAACAGAAGTGGTGTTTGTGTTGTGGGCAATAAGTAGTAAAGAGAAGTTACTGTTTAAGAAATATTCACAATAATTTTCTTCTGGTTAGTATGAACTGGTTTGAATCCTAACAAAGAAGAGTCTTTTATGACAAGCAATCAGAGGCATAGCATATTGCATTGATGAAATTTCAACTACTGTAGATGGTAACCAAGCCATAACGTATTGACTCAACTAATTGGATTACCCTCTACAGGGCCATAATGTATTGATTCAACTTGTTGTTGGAATAGTCAATAACACTGATGTAATTATTGCAAGAATAATGGTAGTCTTATTGACTGTTTTGACAATGCTTTGAAGTGATACGTTATGACCATGTTTAATACCAATCTACAGTGCTGTGAATTATTGATCCAATGTAGTTGACAACTTCTATTACAGAGTGTTCTGTGAAACTTAAGAGAAGTCTATACAAGTGTGCTAAATTTCATGCTGATACTGGCAATAATGGTGACGTGGAAACTGAATGAAAACAAACTAGACTTTTATTTTTAATTATTTACTACTGGTTAATTAGTAAACATTTTAAGACTGAAATGTAGTATTTATGTAGGAAAGAGATTAAACTTTCAATTTAAGCTAAATTTAAAAAATGTGATTTTTGAAATATTTTGGGTGCTCTTTAAGGGTCAGTGCTGCCTTAACAATAAACAGACATATTAAAAAAGAAATAATAAAGTTAATTAGCTTTTCCCACAAGCTTTTGAAAAGTTTTATTTTAATTTTTTTGTATGCATATACTATAATTTCTCTACCAGACATATACACTTGTCTCAATCCATTTTAGGATTAGAGCCTCTCCTAAATTGGCCCCCAAACTTTTCACCCTTGAATAATCATGACTTTATTCATGTATATAGTATTTGTGTTTTTTTTTGTTTTTTTTTAGGTCTCCACTCTAATAATTCTTGTCTATTAGCAGTCTTCGTTTCTAACTAGTAGTAGTAATATATTTTACTTTAATTTGCTTTTTAAGCTAAGTATTTTATCGTTGCTTAGACTATAGTGGAAAAGTATCATGGGAGGCATGTCAAGCTCTGTTCAAAATAATTTCCAAGAAGAATGAATGGAATAGTTAAAACCAAACTCTTCATCTTCCTGTCCCTTCTGAGAGCAGTAACAACTATTAAGCACTGACGGCTAACTTATTGAACAGGTCTAGACTGGTTTACCAGAAGGAAGATTCCAAAGTAACGTTTATAAGCAGAGTAGTGAAAAAGTATAAAACCATAGATGAATGTGCAGAAGATGTGTAAAGAGTTGCTCAGTTTGGGACATAATAGAACAAAACCTTCCAGCGTGTCCCATGGGAGCAATGGTTGGAAGTACTTTTGTGGATCTAAAAAATGATGTCCTCATTAGGGCCCACAAACAAAACAACTATGAAATCCAAATCAATTCTGTATCGAGCACTGAAAAATGTAAAATTGTACAAGAAATACTTCCAAATTAAAGAAATCAGAAGCAGTCACATTTGAGACAAAATGTAGGAAGCCTGATGTCAAATCTTTGCATGAAGAGAACTTCAGCTTCACTCACAGAAACTGATCAATGGCATATATTACATGAATACCATGTGGACATTATGGTTTAGGCTGAACTGGTAAAATATCTCATAAGATTGATACTAGAGAGGCAACCAAAAACATGACAATTGGCCAGACAGCTTCTTTTGGAAAAAAGAGACTGATGCACTTATAGAAATAGAAGCTGTTGTATTTGTGAAGTAGAAGGATGAATTTACAATATTTTTTATGGCCTAACAGAAGGTAATCAGGAAGTTGAAACGTTAGCAAGGAAAGTTGTCAACGAATTTGTCTCAAGATTGAGGGCTCTTGTGATACTTCACTCAGATCAGGGATGGGACTTTGAATTTCCCTTTTTTTTTGTAGAGATGTGTGAAATCCTTGGAATAGAAACAAAGACCAAGACAACAGCCTTTCATCCATCTTATGATGGAGAGAGATAACCATACACTTTTAACAAAATTAGCATAACTAGAAATATCTCCCATGACAAGCAAAGAGAGGTGGGAAGGTTACCAGCAAAGGCATCATCAACTACCAGTTGGCACTGTCTGTTTGCTTCCAGAGGGCAATACCCTCTCACAAGTTCAAGTACAGGTGATAAAACTGTGTTTAAGATAAGTACACAATGAACATGCAAGGGTCCTAACTGGTAAATCCATAAAAATACAAAATTTTCTAAGAAAAGAAGAGTATATATATATATATTTTGAAACAAAGTATGAAGGCCTTCCATTCCAATTTATGAGTTATCAGACAGCAGTACATAAAGAGACAGGCAATACACCAGCATTATTGATGTTAGAAAGAAAACTCAAATTGCCATTGGACCTTCTGTACTTACATCCTAAGGATCACTATTCAACAGTCTCACACAGAGTATCCAGAGAAACTAAGGAACACCCCTGATGCCATAAAAGTATTTAACACAACAAAAGATTCAAGTTATTTAGTGATAAAATACTGATTAAGCTCTCTCAATCCTGTTGCGTCTACCACGTCTGAAAATAGTCTATTTCAAAGACTGACTACCGTTAGAAAAATAAAATTGCTTATTAGCAGACGACTTCTATACTGTCAAATATTAAACATATGCTATCTAGTCTTACCACTCTTACCGTTAAAAACGAAAAAGATAATGCACTAATTCTTTCTATTCCATTTATAATATTGAACATTTAATAAGATCTTGTCTAACCCTTCTTTTTTCAAGAGAAAATAATGTTAAAGTCTTTATATGATGATTTCTGTAGAAAGAAAGTTTTCATTGATATATATATATTGATATTCCTGTAGATAGAACCACAAATTCTGTTTGTTTTTCCACTGGCAACAACAGACTGATGGACTTAAACATCCATATCCTTTTCTTCAATAACACATTTGAGTTTGTTTCCACCAAAATTGTAATTAAAGTAGATTACATGCATAACCTTGCACTTAGAATAATTAAATGTAATCTGCGTTTACCCAATTCACCAAATGATCCAAATCTCTTTGTAAAAGAACAGTATCTTCCTTACAGCCAATTACACCCTAAACTAATAGTAGTATTATGAAACTGGACTCTTTAATCTATATCAAGAAGAAAAATGGTTCCAACGTAGCTCTCTGAGGTACTCCATTTGCAACTCTATCCAGTTTCACTGACTTTCATTTGTTAAACCCCTTTTCTTTCTAGCTTTTAATCATATGTTAATTAATTGAACTAACTTATCCTACACAGACACAGATAATTTTCTTGACTAGTCTTTCATATGGCACTTTGTCAAAGATCCAGATACACCAAATTCACACCTTTATCCTTATCAGCTTAGCCAGCGACATCTTTGAAGAAAGTCAAAAGAATCAAAGAGACAAGATTTTACTCGTGTGAAACCATGATGACTTTTCAACAAAACCTGGACAACGCTTGTCAACCCCGTCAAGGTGCAACATTAGCCAGCTTCCAGTGGATAACGCTTGTCAACCCCGTCAAGGTGCAACATTAGCCAGCTTCCAGTGGATAACGCTTGTCAACCCCGTCAAGGTGCAACATTAGCCAGCTTCAAGTGGATAACGCTTTTCAACCCCGTCAAGGTGCAACATTAGCCAGCTTCCAGTGGATAACGCTTTTCAACCCCGTCAAGGTGTAACAACTTCCAGTCCATAAATAGCAGATTTCTTTTTTGTACTTGAGTATCAATGTATCACACAACTTTTACAAGAAAAACTACTATAAAGGTTAGATATTAATTGAACATTCAAAAATTTGATGACATAGCAGTAATTAACTTGTACAATTTTCCTGACATACCTAAGCATATCTACTCGAGAGATGTAGTAATTGAAAAACGTTCGACAAATATAAATGCAGTGCACTATTACGACTTAGCATTTTATTAATCAAGCATTTTTTATCGGGATTTTACAATAAAACATAATATTTTAATTTCAAAATAAAAAAATTCCACTTCCCGACACAAACATTCAAAAGAAAATATGCTTTATAATGTTAGCATGTAGCAACTTACTGGGTTTACCAGAATTAGATGTAGTTTAGAATATTTTTATAGAAAGATGTCGAATACTAAGACAAACTTTTGATTTTTTTAAACACGTTATTTTTAGAAAATTTGACCAGTGCAGTTCATTTTAAACTAAAATGTATAACATTGACAATTTCGCCACTTTTTACACAATCTTCCATAAAGATACTATGAAAAATTATCATATAAATTAACATAATCGTTCCGAATTATGCATAATTTTCTGTATCATAGCCTTACACAATCTAACATAAACTTAAACATTCAACCTTTCACACTTACCAGTTTATTCAATAAGTTACGCTGAATCAGTTGTTTTCACAGTGGTCATTGATTCACTGTAGGTCGCATAATTAGAATGGTCAATACAAAATTTTAATAACTTTTTTCAACCTAGACGTATATACTCCAACACAAACATAAGCATTTAAGTTTTCACACTTAACATTTTGTTCAACTTCACCAAAAGTTATGCTGGATCAATCGTTTACTACGGTGTGGTAACTGACTCAGTATATATCACATAATTACCATAATCACTACAGGATTTAAATAATTTTCTTTATTATAACCTTACTTGCTTGAACATAACTCTAAGAATTGATCCTACTACAGAAATTTAAAACTGTATCTGTGATCTCTGACTTTCCTCAAATTCTGTGCTAACTTTTCTTAAATTATGTTTCTGCTTTTAAGAACTGGTCACCTTTGCTTTGTCAGCTTCATAAGCTCCTTCTATAGCAAGGTCACTTTCATACGCTATAGTGAATTAAAACAAGTAGAACTTGACTAGATGTGTTAGAGATCATGTACACACTGGCTGTATGTTCTATTGTTCTCTTGGTCTCGGGTTTCGAGACGGAACTTGCCATTTACTAAATAAGACGTAAGTTTATATGT